AAAAGAAATTTGCCTGAGGACACAAGTAGTAAGTGCTACAGCGGGAACCCATTACATAGCCTCCCTTAAAAGAAAGAAGACGCCATTTCAGTGGTGGCAAGCAGATGTCTCACTAAGCTGTCTTTCTAACCAGAGAAATGGTGGAGGATGGCTAAGGAGAGGAAGAGAGAGCAAAAGAGCTGTGGTACAAGTCCGCGGTGGATTAAAGCACTGAACTCCTAGCCGTGCCCAAGATAAAGCATGGCATCCTCGCCATGGATTTGACCACATCTCAAACCCTCTAAGCCCACAGTGGAGTTTAAGAAACCTGGTCAAGGCAGGTCAGCCTTGATAAAATACAGGGTTAGGCAAAAGTAGGTTTACAGTTCATGTGGAAAAAGACATGCAGGATATGAGTATTACAATAGCTTTATTAACTAAAAAGAATGTTACAGTGCAACTGTAAACCTACCTTTGCCCACCCCTGTATTTTGGAGCTTTTATGTGTCTGGAAATGTGTGCAAGAAGTGAGTGAGTCGTTCTCATTGTATAAACTCAGAAAAGCCTGGAGACTCAGTCTGAGGAGCCCAGGATGAGAATCAAAGTTGTGGCATCTGGATGCTGCTGTGAGCTCCCGTGCCTGCCAACATTCCTTGTTCCTGAGATAACACCAGAGCTGATGGAGGCTGGTGAGCCTGGGGCTGGCTTTTCTGGGAAGAGTTTCTGCTCACCAGGTAGAGTGCGGCTCCTGCCTGGCGCTTCCATTGTAGCCCTTGGCACACTGGTCTGTCTCTTTCCACAGCTGTAGCTGACTCCCCCTGGGGATATGGGCTTCCCAAGGGCAGGGCAGGTCTCTCCCCAGTGCCCGGCACCCAGCCAGACCCCTAAGGGCAGCTCCACACTGCAAGGAGCCCCTGCCTAAGCCCAGATGCAGCAGGGCAAGACAAAGGCAGGCCCGGCAGGCGGCCCGGCATCCACAGGAGAGCCCGGGAGACCCTCCAGGCCTGGCAGGGCAGCTCTGAAGGCCTGGCTCCACAGGCAGATGTCAGAGCCAATCCCAGCAGCCCCTTCTGGGGGCCCAGCACTCCCACCGGGTCAGACCTGCAGCCTGAGAGAGCTGGGCACAGCTTCTTGCCAAGGAAGGCTGCCGCCATTTCTAAGCAGGTGCTCTGGCTCTACAGGGAAAGATGGAAACTTCACAGAGGATGGGAAGGGGGAGGGGAGGGTGTCCAGCAAATAGCTCCAGAACCAGCCTGGGGATTTGGGTAGGAAATGGGTTGGGCAGATGGACCAGGGATGTCCAGTTGTTGCCAGGTAAGTTTAGCAGGATAAACAAGCAAGTCTATGTTAAAAGAGCCACAACAAAGAGCCTTGGTACCAGATTCTATGGGAGCTCGGAGGAGGGGCCAAGGCCAGCACCCCGGTGTCAGGGAATGCTTCTCAGGGCAGCACCTTTGAAGGCTGCCAGGGAGTCCCTGGGTGGACAAGGGGAAGGGCATTCCAGCAAAGACACAGATAAGCGAAGCAATGGGGTGGGTGAAAGAATATGTGGAGTTGGCGCATGCCTGGATCGGGGAACCAATAGCCCAAACTCCTGCCAATAAATAAATACTCACATGGGAATCGGGGATCCCGCTGCCCGGAGGCCAGTTTGGAGAACCAGGAAGTCCAGTCATATTGCACTCCAGCCCTGGGATAGGGGCCTCCTCTGGGCCACAGGGATGTACCATCAAGGATGCCTCCTTCCCAGGGCCAAGCACCCTCGACCAGCACCTGGCCCGGAAGGCTTTGGCAGCTCACAACCCCAGGAAGCAGAGGGGCCAGACGGAGGGACCAGACTGCCTCGACGCCATCCCACCCCCCACCTCCAGAGCAGGGCCAGTAACAACACTAAATGACAACTCAGGGCGCACACCTGGAAGAACCGCTTCCCAAACAAAACCTACTCTTGCCTGTGGGAGGCACTTTTTTCTAAAATGCTGGTGTCCACCCACAAGACTGCTTTTGTGCCTCCCGAGTGAACTGTCCGTCCTTCCTTCCCTCAGCGGCGGAGGGGTGGGGACGCCAATCCCATTTCCCTGCAGGAAAACCGAAGCCAAGCCCCTACACTGACCTTCTCAAAGGCCAGCGGCGGCGGCAGAGCGGTGAGACCGGGGCCATCAGAGCCGGTCGTGTCCGCTGCTCTCCCCGCAGCCTGTGCGGCCCAGGAGGATCCTAGGCGGGACTCCCCGTGCGGCGAATTCCGGGAGGGCGGATGGACGCAGGCTGGGAGTTAGAGGACCGGGTTCAAGTCCTGCCTCTAATTATTTGCTAATTTATCCTCTGAGTTTCCAGCTCCTAGTTGTAGCCTGGAGATAAGGGGTCCCTCCTCGCAAAACTGCCCTAAGGTTTCTGCACTGTGTTCGTAATGTCCGCAGCAGAGCTCTGGAATATTTGCGGAGGGCACAGCGCAGCGACTGCACAGCCTGAATTCCCAGGTTAACCTTGATTTCCCAAATTCCAGCCGCACCTGCAGTTCCTCCCTCATGCATGAGACCTCGGGACGCCGCCCGCACCAGGTCCCCATCCCGCACCCCACGTCACCACCAGCTTTTAGTGGGACTCGGTCACCGTGAAATTCCCAGACTCTGGCCCTCTGGCCCTCCTTCCCCGTGAGATCCTCGAGGGCAAAATCAGGGTGCCTTCCTCCCAGCAAAATGTCTTGCATGTAGAGGATGGGGTGCACCGGACTTCGGGCTCTGTCTGTGCTGTACCCGGGGCCCATCTCTGCCTTCGCAGACGAGGGACCGGGACTGGAGGCAGCAGCGGGGGGTGGCAGGGCGCCAAGACCAGGGCTGCAGGGCCAGTGAGGCCCATACCTCCCGAGTGGCCGAGTGCTTGGGATGGTGCAGAGCCTAGACCCGCAGGACCACGGCGGCCGCTGTCCTGACTTTGCAGGGACACCCACATGGGAGCCAAGTAGCCTCTTGTGGAGGGTGCGGGCGACTGGAGCCAGGGCAGGTGGGTGCAGGACGTTGCAGTCACTGGCCCGCAACAGACCTTGGTCCCCACCCCCCAGGGCACCTACCTGGTGCAGGCCCCGCCTGCCTAGGGAAGATGCCCCCCAAAAGCAAGTTAAAACAGGCGTCAGTGGGGGCGCAGCCTGCCCAGGACCGCCAGGCTTCTTGCTAGTGGCGTCTGAACTTGCTCTAAGGATATTGACTTGTATGAGGCCAAAGTTGGTGCCACTTTCGGTGCCTGGTGTGAATCGAGGTCTGGACACACAGAGTACCATGAACTGCCTCGTGGTGGGGTGGGGAATAGGTGAGGCACAGGAAACAGCCACACCTGTGCACGTCATTCATTTTCGGTGCCACACCGTCCTTTCCCTTCCCCTTCTTGTTAGTTCCCACTCATTTTACAGAACCTTGTGTGGCGCACCTCCTCACAGGCCTCCCTCCCCAGGTGATCCCTGACCACTCCCAGGCTCCTTACCCCACGTCCCCAGGTGCCAGCTTCCCTTGCTGCACACACCTGGCCTTGTGGTAAGGGTTGAGCTTCTTTCCTAGATTCTGGCAGCTTGAGGTAGAGCCCGTCTTTCTCATCAACCTGAGCTCCTGCCTGGCACACGGCCCGGCTCCTAGTTCTAAGTGAGGGTTCTGGTGGTCCTGTGGGCGATACCAGGCCGGACCCTAGGCAGCAGAGATGGGAAAGGTCAGAATGACACCTGGAGGAGCCAAAGTCCCCTCCCACCTAGACAAGACATGGCCCTGGCACGCTGTACCTTCTTGGAATTAGAGCAAGGCACGGCGACTTCACACAGTCCCAAGTGCCTCTCCAGTTCTTCCTCCTCTTTACTTCGTCCCCCTTCCCCTCATTTCTATGCAAATGAGGAATCCAAGTTTGCACAGCCTGATTGGTCCAGATAGCACTGTCCTGATTGGTCAGAATTATGTGTTCTGATTGGTTATTATGGAGCTACTCTGATTGGTCAACAAATATACAAATGAGGCTACAACTGTGCAGTTCTGATTGGACAGGGCAAGTCTCAGTCCATTGGTTGAAATAAGATTCCAGATTTGGCTCAGACTTCAAGACCACAATGCAGGAAGCTTGGCACCTCAGTCTGTGGCTTTTCTCTGACATGCAGTGTGCAAGACAGGCCTCGGCAAACAATGGCTGCTAGGTTCGATTATGAATTTGGGCCCTGCTAACCACGAGGAGTCCTTTTTGGAAAGTATACTTCTTGGGTCAACATGTAAAGGCCAGGAATTGGCGTATAGGAGCCACCAGGGTTTCCCCATGCCTGTGGTTCCTGTTATGTGGGGCCATTTCTATATTTTGGGGGCCCCAGGTTGGTCTGTGAGGTGTCCCAGTCCCTCTTCACACCCCAAAGACCCAAGTACTTATTCCTTTGGCCCCTCTGCTCACCTGCTAGAGCCTTCCCATTCTTCCTTCATCTCCTACTGCAGGTCAGCCCAGCCTCCCCATCCTGCCCTGTGTGAGGCTCTGGGAGTCCCCTTCACCCCCTAACCACCAGGGGCAGTAAGGAGGGGTATTAACTGGCTCCTGTGCATAATACCCTAGAATGGGAGAGTACTCACACTCCACAGGATTGCTGCCTCCTCTCCTCATCACCTTCCTCTTAGGCCCCATGCCTCCTTCAGTGACTTTGCTCCCTGAAAGCTGCTTAACACTCATTTTAACTGTGTTTGTTTTTAACCACAGTCTGCACCCGGCCAAGTTCTAAAACAGCCAGTTGCACCTATTCAAGGCCCCTTAGCTTCATTCCATCTCCTGCTCATAAACGTGCTTTGCCAGGGATCCTCTCCCAGCCCTAGGACTGACCCTGGAGATTTCTGTCTCTACACTGTCACCCCAACCCCAGGTGCCTCCCCAGCCTTCCCCTCTGGCATGCCCAACACAGGCCACCACGGTGCCCTTGTCCTCCCTTCTCCTCCCCCACCCAAACCTCTGCTGACGGCTATAAAAGGTCAAGCGAGCGAGCGAGTGTGCAGCCCAAAAGATAGCAACTCAGGATAGAAGCTTCAGCTTTGGCTTTTAATAAATTAAAACGGACACATGGCCACCCACTAACCCTTTGGGCAGTGTTCAGTCCTAGAGGAGGGGAGTGACCAGGTGGGACAGCCCATCCTCCGGGCCTGTGCCTGGCCTTCTCCCTGCGGGTTGGCCTATCCAGAGCTGCTGTCAGGGAGTCTGGACAGAGAGCTTGTGGCTGAGGATTGCGTGGCCCTAGCTGCGGCCCAGTGTCCAAGCTCAACAGAAGGAAGGCAGAGGCCTTCCTGGCCAGGTGGCTCCGGTAGCTCCAGCCTTGCTCTGGGCAGAGGCAGGGGCAGAGGAAGGGCAGTGGGGATGGGGCTGATCTGGCCAGTCTCACTGGCCACAGCTGCACCTCCCTGAAACTGGTCTCAGGTTCCTTTTTTCCCTCCTCTATCTTAGATATTACAAAATATTCGTAATATTCAGGCTACCAGATCACATCTCCTAGATGTTTTCACACCAGACCACATGTTCCAATTTTTGATTTGGGGTCAATGGCTACAAGGCTGTTACTCGAGGACACTTTTCCCATTTCTGGAAAAAGAGCAAAGGTGTGAAATGGGAGCTGGGAGAACGAGATGGGAAGAGGCAGGCTCCAGGCCGATATGGCCCAGCACTGTCTTTGGTTCGGGAGTGTTGGAAGCTGCAGGAGCCCTTGACAAGGAGTGGGATGGGACCTGAAGGTGAGGCGATGCTCGGGGACCAACTGAATGATTCAATGAATCTCTTTCCTCCCCCTGCCAACAAAGGTGCAGGAAGCTGTTGACACCACCACAGGCCCGGGCACCCATATTTTCTTCTCCTTGCTTTGCACAAATTACATCCTTAAACAAACTATCCAAGTAGGCTCCTTCCCTCTCCCAAGTAGCTTTGTGCAGTGCATTCCCAGTCACCCCTCCCCCCAGGGCGCTTCATGGCTTCTGAGGGAGTGACATTGAGGCCCAGAGCACCTCTGAGTCACCGTGGGATGGGCCTCTGCCTCAGCACACGGAGTGACAAGCTCTCTGCATGGGTCAGGAGCTCCTCAATGTGAGCCAATCCCAGCCCTGCAACCTTGGCCCCGTTCACCTCCAGGATCTCATCCCCCACCCCCAGCAGCCCCGAGTACAGCTTGGCCGTACTTGCATCAGCCATCTCCTGCACGTAGAAGCCTGCAAAGGAAAACAGGAGAACTTAACAAGTGAAATGAAAGACATGCATCTCTGGCATGCTGACCAGGTGGGTGCTGTTTTGTGGGGGGAGAGGGGCAGGGGCAGGTGCTCATACAGGGCACTTCTGCTCGCGTGCACACACACGCGCGCACACACACACACCCTCATTCTTCCCACTCAAAATCACAACTACTTCATATATAGATATGGTATAACTTCATTTCTCCATCTCCTCTTTTAAAATGCCCTAGTGCAAATAATGCTTTCAGCTGTAATGGTTCACATATACCCCAGTGTGAATGAGCTAATCTTAGCTTTTTCTGAGATGAGCTTTGATTGTAGAATAGGAAAATAATGTTTAAAAATTAGGAAAATGACCTACGACGTGTCCGGCACAGTGCTAAATGGCACTCACAAACAAACTCCATTGCTGCCCTCAAGTCGCCGGAGTGGGGGGAAGGCATCGCTGAAGTAGCTGAGGTCCAGTCCAAGCCTGGCTTGCTTCCTGGTATAGTCTAGGGCTAGCCCTGGCCTCAGTCTTCCTCGGGTATGGTCCTCACTTGGAACTCGGAGGCCTCTGGACAAAGGCCCAGAAACATAAAAATCCTACCCCCATATTTAAAGACATGGTGGCTCCCTTTTCCCTTCTTCACCCCCCCCCCACCCCCACCGCCCCTGAGAGGCCCTGCCTGGCCAGTGTGACCATTCCGAGGTCTCCAAAGTGCATCAGGAGCCCTGGGAGAACCCACTCCTCCCCTGGGTCTGACTCGGGGAACCCACGTTGGTGGGACAGGCTCTGTGGGGCCTCAGGGCTGGATAGGCCGGTGACACTCGCCTCTCCTGGCCACACAGGAGAGGGTTCCCCTCTCACCAAAACTTCTGCTGAAAACCTTTCAAACCCCTTCAGCTGCTTCCACCTAAGAGGTTAGAGGAGGAGCAGGCTCTTCCAGGGAAATCTGGTGAACACAGGTGTCTGAGGGCACCAGCCCAGGTCACTGGGGGGCCGCAGGGGATGATTGACACCGGCAGAATTCATGGGGGGAGGGGGGTGTTGGGGGGGACTTTGCGAGGCCTCAGCGCCCTCCCTGCTGCCAGCCCAGGCTCAGCTGGCTCTCTCTACACTGAACAGCTGCCTGTGCATCACTCCCCACCTCCTCTTCCTGGAACCAGCTTCCTTAGAAGGGACATGAAAGGGCAACTTGCCCTGTTTCTCAGTCTCTGACCTAAAGCCATTTAACACATCTCGGACCAGTGGGAACTCATCTCTCTGATCCATGCGGCCCAACTCTGGCCCCAACAGTCAAGCTTTCCAGAGCCCACCCTGTGGAATTTGGGTTTGAATGTACATTGAAATCTCCTCTGAGGCACCTGAGGATTTGTAGCTCTGGGTTTAGCAAATCCGATTTTTTGTCAAGTTCCCTGTCCCTGGGCTGAGGTGGGGAGTCCCTTTCGGTGCTTCTCAGTCACCCTTAGCCTTTCCTGAGAGGCTGTCTCCCCGCAGCAAGGTACATCTGTCATCTTGATCGCACAGGCTTCTCTCTCACAGGCCCTGTCTTCTACCTCTGCCATCTGGGTGTTTGAACTGCTTGCTGGCCTGTCTGCATGTTGGAAAAAGGCAGGTAAAATGGGGAGGGGTGGAGCCTGTAGAAATGGCTGCTATACAGCAGGATGTGAGGTGGGGAGTGTTGAGAAAACCCAAAAGAATGCAGCCAGAGACAGACCAGACACTGATGTCACGCCAGCCATTTGGGGGAGACTCTGGGGTAGGTTTTACAACTGAAAGTCATGACAAAAATATGACAGAGAGACTGCTTTGTAGGCATTTATTGGCTGCTGGACACGGCCTTTGCTAAGGATGTATGCTCCTTATGTTGCATTAGAAGCAGAAGACAAAGCCTGCTATTCTCTCATGCTTGTATAGAACCGGATGTGGTAGCCAGCAAGTTAGCACCAGCATCTTGACTCTTTAGGAAGGATTGCAAACCAACCCCAGCCCACAGAGCCGCTGAGGCCCAGGAAAAAGGCCTCTTGGCTGCGGGAGGACGGCGTGTGGCCAGGCGGCCCTGTTCCGCATACATTGGGATCTCTGTGACATCCGACGGCTAGCTGCAGCAGTAGAGGCAGGACACCACCTGGGCAGGACAGGGAAGAGGTCTCACCATCCAGGTGAGGGAGCCTGGGAGAGTGGGCCAGGGCAGAGCCCGAGGAGCCCTTGGTGATTACAGACCCCTGCCCATCAGAACTCCATGACAGGTGATGGGGGAGGGGATCCCACTGCCTGCAGAGGATCCTAAAAGGACTTTTGGGGAGTATGGGGGGCCGAGTACATGCTTGGTTGTGTATGATCTCACACTGACAGATGATGCCAGTCCCCATCTGGAATTCTGCTCCCCAAATACATTCTCTTTCTGAGGAGGAAAGTGAAGAAAAGCGCCAGGCACTTTTCTCCGTACGCCACTGAATGCTCCTTCTGACTCCGCCAGGGTCTGGGAGCCAGGATGCCTGAGAACCTAACCTCGGGAGCCAGCTCTGAGGGAGGGGCCTGGATGCACAGACAGGCAGGCACATTCCGCGTGCCCAGACACACTCAGCAGCCGGAGGAGGGAACCATTTAAACACGTCGGCCACATCAAAGGACTGCCTCTGAGAACTGGCAAGCACAAACAGTCTCCCTCTGGCTCCCCAGGGAATAGCTGGCCTTCAAGATTCTGGTTTTAAGAATGTCATCAGACAGCAGAGGGGCAGTGGGGTCAGGCCTGCCAATAGCTACTCCCCCCGCCCCCAGCAGCCCATACCTTGACTCTTCAGAAAGAGCCCCTGTGGGGAGAACTCTAGTCCTTTTGATAAGAGGTTCTCTGAGCCCAGAGCTCCACTGCTCAGCCAAAGACCAGGAAAAAACTCTGATCACCAGTGTGGTTTGCTAAGGTCCCGGGGCTGTGGGGCCCAGAAAGCGGAGGGAGCGTACCTGAGTCCCGGCGCCCATTCCCGGAGGCCACACAGAAGCCAAACGTGCCCTCTGGGGAGCGTTGCAGCTGCAGCTGGCTGGTGCCGTCTGGGAACACCTCCACCACGTGGCCCACTGTGCGGGCCAGGCTGGGGGCACCCACATCCTCCACGCTGAGCGCACGCCGGGGCGGGGCCTTGGCTAACCTGCATGGACACCGGAGACAGAGTGAGGGCAACGAGGGCTGGCACTGGGCTCCAGCCCCTTGGCTTAAAGAAGACTTGCCTCTCCACTGACGGCTGGGGCTCCAGCATGAAAAGCCTGCTAGGGCCGAGATTGGCACCCCCGTCTGAAGCTCCCCAGCCTGCTGCTGCACCAGAAGCCCCAGCCCATGAGCAAAGTTTTTAACCTTTTCAGGTACAGAGACTTCTCTCAGAACCTGATGAAAGCTGTAATTTTATATAAAATTTCCAGGAGTTAACGGACACCCTGAAGTCCCCCCATGAAACTCTAGGTAAGAGCAGCTAACCTAGAGGGTCACAGGTCAAGGGCCTCTTTTGAGGTCTCTGTCTCTGGATCTTTAATTTGATCTTTAGCTGAGCTAAGGAAGGTCTCTGGACATTCTGACTTCAAGATGTCATCAGACAGCAGAGAGATGGAGCAGACAGCAGAGAGATGGAGGAACCAAACCTCCCAACTCCACCCCTTTCAGCACCCCACACCTTCTCAAGGCTCAACTGCACACCTCAGAGAACTGGCCTCCCTTTCTCTTAATGGGATCCCATTCAGGGCCATGCTGCAGGGCCATGCTGCTGAGGCAAGAAGTTAAGCTTATTGTTCCATTGTCCATTCTTAGTTTGTCCTCCAGACCACTTGCCCACTTTTACCTGCCAGGTTCACTGTGGTCCCCTGGCTCCCCTACCAGGTACAGGCTGGACCGGTCCACCTTGCCACTCAGCAGAGAATAGAGATTCTGAAAGGAGGCAGCTTTCCGATGTTGGTGAGAGGGTGACACCTAGAGGTAAAGGTCCAATATTGCAGGTGAGAAAAGCCGCCTGGCCAGGGGATGGCAGAGACTTGGCCCCAACCATGAACCTGAGGGCCTCTTTCAAAGTAACAGGAGGAGCTTTTGTCACTACTTCAAGCGGCTGCACCATAATTTACTCAAGTAGGTGGGTCTACACAGGTGATATGATCTGAAGCTTCTAGGTTTTGGGTTTTCTTGGCTGAAATAACAATGTAGTACTAAGACACTAATTACCACACCACTTAAGAAAATCTAATTTTCTTGTAAGAAAAAAAAAGTAAAATCAAATTAATTATAGAGTAACAAACACAACTTTAGAGTTAAAATGTTAAATAGTGTTTTTGCGATTCTTTTTTCTTTCACTGCTTTTATTTATTTATTTATTTTTGCAATTCTTTAGTATATCCCTTTTATGATCAGTTACATTCAAAATTTTTAATCTAAGTGTGCACCTTAAACCATCGTGAACAAAAAGATGGGAAAGACAAAGTCCCTTGAGGACTTCCCCCAGTGGTGGGTGTGGGGTGGGCACAGGTCAGTTAAAGGCCCTAAATGCAGTAGGAAGTGCTCGGTTGAAAGTGCAGACGATGTGCAGGGGAGCGGAAAGAGACTTCGTTTGGCTTAGGAGGCCTGGGGACAGTTAGAGGAGCTGATCCCTGAGTGAGGCTTGAGGCAGGAACTCGTGAGGTGAATACAGGGGCAGAGTCCTCCAGGCAGAAGAAACAGCAGGTACGAAGACATGGAGGGACGAGGGAAAACATGGTCGGTTCTGGGTCATACTCATGGACTGGTGGCGAGGCTGCAGAGGTGATGGGAGGTGGACTGGAGCAAGGGGCCAGCCCTGGAAGGACCTCGTATGGCCTGCTAGAGAGCCCCTGAGTGATGCTCATCTGAAGAGTTACAAAATCTGATCTGTGTTCTAGAAATCGACCCAGTGAGGAGCCCATTCGGAAGGTAGGGGGTAGGAATGGTAGGGAGGAGCAGACTTTAAAACAAATGTTACAGACATGTATTACATTTGGAATCCATGCTCTAGAGAAATAAGGCATATTATCAAGAAATAGAAGGGGGGGGATTTGGAGCTGATTTATATCAGAGTTCAACGAGGCTTCCTGGGAGAAGTCATGTTAACTCAGACCTGAAGGACAAGCAGGAATTTCCTGAGGAGAGCCTTCCAGATGCAGGTGTAAAGGGAAAGAGCCACAGCCAGTGGAGGCTGTGGGAGCATCAGGAGGGGGCAGGTGAGAGAACAGGCCGCTGCCCACTCAGGAGGGCAAAACGGAAACCAAGCTGCTGCAGCATCCACCCACCCTGTCACCCCACACCTGGCGGCACAACAGTCTAACAGGAAGTCGCTCGCCCTGAGCTATGTCATGAACAGTTCTGGGTGAGGAAGGGTTCTTCTTTTATCCTCTTTTTCCAGTTCTTGTACATTTCTTTCTACTCCTCAGTCCGCCCTTTCTCACCAGCTTGCTCTCTCCCTTCCCACTCGGCTTAGATTGCTGACAACACCTCTATTACACTAACATCACTGTCACTTCCCTAGAGGGCTTCACAGAAGCCAGAGCTCTGAGGGCAACACACCAGGTGCCCTGGCTCAGATATACAGGGCACAGATCTAACTTCATGGGGAAAGTGAATTCCTGGAGCATGGTGTCACTCTCGGGTCCTCTTCCCAGCTTATATAAGGCTGTTTTGTTTCTGTTTTTGCCTTCCATTCATTCATCCAGCAAATACTGAATGCCAACCACGTACCAGGTAGTGTTCCTGGAGCCAGACTGAAATGCAATTTTCATTCAGTCTGAAAATAAAAGGCTCCAGTACGGCAAACCACAATCACCTGCTTCCTTCCGCCCAGGGAGGGGAGCAGAGACTAGAAGAACAAACATAATACTGGAAACACCTGGGACAGAACAGGGTTTTCAGAAACAAAGCTGACTCAGTGAGCTGCTATTGGTTTACCCTCCAGCATACGGGGAGGGACAATTCAGCAGCCTGCCCTGCATCCACTCACTCACTCACTGTGCATTATGTCTACTATATTCACCATTGTACTGAATATTGGGAATATAAAGATCAATGGTGTTCCCTCAAAGAAGTCACACTCCAGTGAGGGGAGACAAACAAAAATCAATTAAAATACTATGTGCAAGTTCCACCAAGGAGGGTAGCCCAGAATGAGATAAAAATACAGAGCAAGGAAGGGTAGGAAGATGCAATGGCTGAAGTATCCTTGGATGAGGAGACATTAGCAGGTAGAGAAGGCGGGAGAACAGAAACATGAAGGCTGAAAGTCAGACAGTGTGTGGCCTTCATGACAGAACTTCAAGGTCAAGGACAACTGGGATGAGTGTTAGAAGGAGAGTGATGGGAGATGAAAGCAGTCAGATTGCAGAAACCCTTTGGCATTGTCAAGTGACCTGAGCTTTATCCTGAGAGTGGTAAGGGACCAATGGCCTGTATGAAGTGAGGGCATGGCAAGCCAGATTTGCATAGCAGAAGGACCACTCTGGAAGCCAGTGGAGAAAGACAGGCAGGAATGCCAGTCTGGAGGCCCTGGAGGTATCCAGGAAGTGATTTATGCTAGACTAAGGGTCACTGTGGCCATGAAGAAGGTTCTAGAATGACCAGGCAGTAGACTCCAGGTCTTGGCAGCAGTGAGAGTTGAAGGAGGGGAAGAGGAAGGCATCTAGGATGAGTCCATACTGGAAAGCCGGTGTGTGTGTTGGGGGGTGGGCAGGGGGATGCTGCTACCGTACTGTGTCCTGGGGACCCAAGTCTCAGAGATCAACTGTGGGGAGGCAGGAGCCTCCTCTTCTCCACCTTTGCCTCCTCAGCACTTCATTTCTCCTTTCACCTTTTGTTCCAATGGTGCCTACACCACCACCTGCCTCACACAGCCCCTGTCTGGGCCCTTCGGACTCACCCGATGCAGGGATTGTAACGATGGGGCTCTCTTCACTTTGGGGGTGCTGGTGTGTGAGGCCGGACCAGGTGCAGGGGGCTGCAGCTGCTCCACACTGCAGCTGCGGGACTTGCCCAACTTGGGCCGTGTGCCCTGGCCCAAGGCCAAGAAGAACTTTTTCAGCCCCAGGGTGGTGATGCTGCTGCTGGCTTTCTTGTTCCTGTCAGAAGGGGCAGCTGAGGGTGGGCCAGGTCCTGCACTGACCCCTGGTAGGTCTCTGAAATGCAAGGGTGGACATGAGGTTGGGGGGAGAGGGCTGTGGAAGCGAGGGTGGGCTTCTCCTTAGGGTTCTGTGGGCCCCAGATGAGCCAGCACCACGCCTTGTGGAGGAAGAGACAGCCAGGCTGCAGAAAGAAAGCTGAGTGGAATCCTGCACGGTAGCTTTTAGAAAGGGCAGCTCAGACAGGACCCTTGGCATCACATTCAACAGTGGGTTTACCCGATCATTCGTTCATTCATTTGCTCATTCACTATTTCCAAAGAACCTCTTCTAGGCCTCTCGTAGGCACTGGGACATGTGGCAAATAGCCTGGGTAAGTGAGAGTGATAAGCAGACAGACAAGGTTCTGACTCTTGGAGCTTATAAACAGCAGACTAGGAAACAAAGGAGAGATACCATCAGCGACTGCTGAGTAGGGTGAAGCAGAGAGAGACAGGGTGGCCAGGGAAGGCCTCTCTGAGGAGATGACCTTTAAACTGAAAGTTGAATGGCAAGAAGTCAGTCCCCCCAAGCCCAGAAATGAGAGCTCCAGGGAGAAAAAAGCTGGCAACAAAGCTCGAGGGCAGGAAGGGGCTCGGTGCATTCAAGAACACAGCGGGGTCAGGCCATTAGGACGTGGATATCATCATGAGCAAGGGACAAGAAGCAGGTGAGGTCAGACGGGCAGATTCCACTGAACACATAAACCCAGGTAAGAGGTTGGAATTCTACTCCAAGCTAAAGGAAAAACATGATGGGTTTTAAGTAAGAGAAATGACATCACTGAATTAAAGTTTTCAAAAGCTACCTTTGACTATTGTGTGGAGAAGGAACTAGAGGGGGCAAGAGGGAAGGCAGAGAGCAGCAGGGCTGTTAGAGTTGCACAGAAAGAAGGCAGCTTAGACCAGGAGAAATGCAACACGGGTGGGCCTGGGGCTGGAGAGGACCGGCCAGTGGGTTGGAGTCGGAAAGAAGAAAAATGGGGCAGCTAAGAGGATGCCCAGATCTGGGTGTGAGCACTGTGGAGTGGTTCTGTGTTCGCAGGGAAGAGGCCCTGGGGGAAGCGGTTTTGGTCGGAGCGATCAACAATTCAGCAAGGCTCTCGGACACCCTGGTGGACATGTCAGGGGAAACTGGATGCACAGGTGTGGCGTTGGGGAGCACAGAGGGCTGGAGATGGATACTTGGCTTTCAGTGGCACGTGAAGCCTTGGGTCATATGTCACCATGAATGATGCATAGCAGAGAAGAGGTGGCCCTGGCTAGAGGATGGCTCCCCAGAACAAGGACTCAGACATCACGCTAAAGAGAGAATGGCAATGTGAATGCTGAGCTCTTTCCTCAGCATCTAGTTGTCTCCAAGCCCAGAGCGAGGAACAAGTCCTCTCAGACAGGCTGTCCCAACCTGGGGCACCTTGAGGGCTGAGACTGGCTGGCCAGCTGTGCCTAGCACAGCACCTGGAGCTTGAGGCCATTCAATGAATGTTTGGTGAATAAATAATCAAGCACATTAGGTTGGAAATGTTTGGGAGAGAAGCATTGGGGTGCCATGGTTAGATGTAAGTCTGGGAACCCTCCAAGGACTTGGGAGCAGTGAGGTCAGTCATGCTACCACTCCAGGGGGGCTCTTTCTTCACTTGGCACCTCCCACCCCCCACCTCCTATGGGCAGGGCTCACTCTTGCTCCTGTCACTCACTGGGATGACACAAGCCCTTCAGAACTTGACTCTGTCTTCTGCAGGCCTTCCTCTGGTTCCTGGCTGGACTCTGGCTCCTCTAAGGCCAGGGAGAAGGTGACACCCATGGAGCTGACGGTGCCAACACCTGCGGGGGTGAGAAAGTCATGGATTCCTCCTGCAACAACCACAGCATCCCTCCCATGTCACTGACCCATCCCACAGGGGAGGGGACAGTCCCAACCCAGAGGCAGGAGAGCCGGAGAAAGCTGGAGAGAAGCAGTGGTGAGACCCACAAAACAGGGACAGGGCCTGATTTACTGCTGTTACCCCATTTCCCCCAGCACAATACTAGTGCACAGTAGCTGATTAATAAATGCCTGTTAAATGAAGGGACTGCTTGTGGTAAGTCATGTCCCTCCTATATCAAGAGACATAGTTGAGAGCTCCTGAGGCATCTGGAATGTGCTGGGCAATGAGTTAAACCCTCCCCAGAGATTATTTCATGGGTTCCTAGGAGACAGGTTCTATTATTACCCTCAGATTACAGTGGAGGGGCCTGGAGTGTAAAGGGGTTCAGTGACATGCCCAGGACCTCCTGGCTAATGAGAAGAGGAGCCTCACCTGGGCCTCTGCTCCAGGCCCCAAGGAGGTGAAGGTCGGCTGCCCAAAAAGGTCAGCAGCTCTCAGAATAGAAGATCCACAGGAAGTGGTTAAGGGCAGCCAGCCTAGAGCCCACCAGGGAAGGAAACCACACCTTAGTTCAAGGAGGGGCCTGCTTCCTCCAGGTTCATGTGAGCAAGGGAGGGAGAGGGAAAGTGTATGTCTGTGTGCAGGGGCGGGGTGGCCAGCACACAGGGTGGGAGAGTCTTGGCACCACATCCTCAGTAAGGTCAGTATGGCCTGTCGTCTGTCTGCCCTCTCCTTCTCCACTGTGTCCAAGCTCTCGATCCCTCCTGAGCCAGCCCAGCCCCAGGGCTGCCAGAGCTGTGGGCACATTAAAGCAGGCTGTGTGGGGTGGGCGTGTGACTCCTGCCTAAAAGTAAGTGGCTGAGGTGCTCACCTTAGCTCACAACATCAGGGATCAGAGCTAAGGCTGCTGATGCCCAGGATTTGCCCACATTATGTGGACCCCTTCCAAGGGCAGAGGTGATATCCTACATCCTTTGCCTGCTGAAACACACCAGTCTGCCCAGCAGGGCTGGGGGTCTGGGGGGGCTCAGGTGCCAGAGAGCAACCCCAGCATTCCCTGTAAGAGCTTTGCCTGCTGGTCACTGTGTCCTCTGGACCAGCGGTTGCCAACCTTTCAGACCTCACGGACCACCAGTGGTCTGCGGACCACCGGTTGGCGATCGCTGCTCTGGACAGCATGTCTGTGCCTGGCCACGGAAGGTCTTAAGGGCAGGACTGCTGCTGAATTAATTCACTTATTGCATTTATTCCCCTCAGTGTCTAGAACAGTGCCTGGCATGTAACAGGTGCTCAAACAATACTGAATGAATGAAATGAAGACACTGAAGGGGCATTTTAGCACTTACGACTCTAAGCAAATGGTAAATCCTAGAGCTGCTGCCTCTCCTAGCTCTGCTGATGGTACAATTTCCTTGCAGCCCAGGCCACCAGCAGCCACTTAGCTTGGACCTTCTATACACCCCTCAGGATTCCCAGAGGTCAGAGGCTTCAGCACCACTTTCCCATGCTCTGCCTCCTCAGGGGAGTTGTTAACCCGCCTCCAGGCTGACGTTGAACCCTGCACCCAGCCCACAGACCCCGCTAGCTTCCCTGACACCTGCCATTGATCAGGGGGCTCCACGGGGCTGCTAGGAATGGTGTGTGGCCATGTAACCTATGAAGACGAGCAGTAAGAGAAGGATGTGTGAGACCACAGACTTGGCCTCAGCTCTGGGACTGCCCCAGACTGGGGCCACCTTACCACCTCTGCAGTTCTCCAGGGGTGCCTCGGGCTCCTGGCTGCTCGTGCCCTTCTCCACCCTGCCCTCGAGGACGGCGCCCCCCGAGGACCCAGGCACACTGTTGTTGCAGTTGTTGGTGGGGAGGCCCAGCAGTGGGTGCCCACCGTGGTGGCTGCGGGGCTGTGTCTGTGGGGGACCGAGCTCACAGGTCCTGGGAACTACACTTCCTAAAGGAGCCCGGCGGGTGCCAGCAGATTCTCCCCGGTCACCAGGCCTGCGGGTGCCTTCCTGTGAGGCCCAGGTGAAGTGGTTTTCCTGGAAGAAGGAGGAGTTGGCACCCAGCCTTCCGAGGAAAGGGAAACCGTTGGCTGCTGGGCCTGGTGTGGGGCAGAGGGCTCTGCATGGCTCTGTTGCAGGGGGATGGTTTCCAGAGGTTGGTGGCTTCCTATAACCTGGTCTTGTCTGCCTGGCCCCAAGGGTGCCAGCTTCACGAAGGAGGCCGGGGCACACACCTTCCGGCACAGAGCCGAGGAATCCACAGAGGGAGCCCAGTGGTTTCCTGGTCGCAACTCCTCCTGGGGCCC